AAAAAAAAAAAAAAGAAAAAAAAAATTATCTTTTGAAATTGAAATGATAATTCAAGAAAATGGGGAAAAACAAAATATAAGGATATGAGGGAAAAAAGGACAATTATATATGTCATATATATTTTTAATCACTACTCTTTGTGTTGTGTCCCCTTTTGTTTCTTATTTGTGTTGATGTGAATGATCTCTGCAAGTCCGCGTGAGAGGACATCATAATATCTAAATTCGATACACACACACATATATATATATACACATATACACACACATATACATATAGAGAGAGAAAACCATGGACTTTCTCTCTCTGCTATCCTCAACTACACGCTGAGTTTGACAGTCACTAGAGTATGCAGAGAGGAGAGAGAGAGAGAGAGAGAGAGAGAGAGATAGGCACAAGTTTTTGTCACATTTTGGGATTCTTTTGAATAGGACACAAATCATCTTTTTTTCAATAGAGCGTGATTAAATAGATTTGATTTAATTTAACAGTTGATTAAATTAGTAACGACTTAACATTAGTCTATATAGTTATTATTTTATATAATTTACATTTTTTTCATGGCTTTTTTTTTCGTAGTCAGTCACGATATATGGAGTTTTGTCCCGACTAATCTGCTGGTCGACTCGAGTCGCACACCTGACACTGGTGGGTGAGTATCCCAACAAGAGTTTTTCTGCATTCACAAAGACTCGAACCCGAGACATTGCTTAAGCGACATCAAACTGCTTATTACTTGAGTCAACTCATGTTGGTATTTTATTTCATGGTTGATTCACCACTCCATAGCATAGTTTTTAAATTCGGCCCGGTAATCGACCCGGACAAGTCACCGGATCACCGGGTCAACCGCCGGGTCACCGAGTCAATTACATGAACTGGATAATTAATTTTAAAATTTTTAAAATTATATATACAAGTTAACAAAATTAAAAGTTAAAAATTTTAAATATTTTGTACATAAAAGTATTTTTCATATAAATATACATACAAGTTAACAAAATTAAATATTTTGTATGTAAAATTTGTAGATTAGAGTAGTAATAACATGTATTTCATGATATATATTTTTACCATATAATATAGTGAAAATATCTATTTTCACCCCGTTTTGAAGTCTTGTTAAGTTTTTCACACCGTCCAATAAAAAACTAAGTTTTTCACCCCAGAAAGTGCGAAGGTTATGCGAAAACTGTCGCATATTCATCGCATAATTGTCCATATGCGAAGAATATGCGAAAAACTGTCGCATATCAATTGCATAATTGTGCAAAAGGCATTGTGCAATAAATATGCGACAATTATGCAATTGATATGCGACAGTTATGCGAAAAACTGTCGCATAACTGTTGCATATCAATTGCATAATTGTGCGAAGGCATTGTTCCCGCCACCTCTGAACGGCTTCGTGGACGGCAACGATCATGGCGGCGATAGGGGTTGGCGCAAGGAGGCAGCCTTCGCTGGCGGATATCGTGCCCGACACGATTGGGGACTTGATCGTGAATTTGGTCCGTGGGAGGGCCTGTTTCGCGTTGAATTCTCCGAATTCGATGAAGAGCAAGTTGACGGGTCATTGTACGATGGTCCGCCTGTATTTGATGAAGGACCCGAAGAGGTGGAGGATCGTCTTCCCGACAAAGTGGACGATCTCTACGACGATCCGCCGATTTTTGTTGAGGAGCCTCCAGGGCTAGAAGATTACCATCATGTTTCGAGTTTCAAAATTCAGCTGTTGGAAGAAATAGTTCTTCTATTGCGCAGGCCCGAGCTTTTCTCCCATGAGAATTTGTTGCAACCTGACAAACAAATGTTGTTTTTTGGTCCCCAAGGTGACTTCAGTATTCTGTGTGTGACTGCAGCATATATGCCTTTATATGAATTTCAAGGGGGCAATACTATGGAGGTGAGGTATTCGACCTTCGTGTTCGATCGGGGGAAACGCTAGGGGTTTACTATCATGGGTTCGACACTATACATCGGCTACGGATGCGCATCGGCTTCGAGGGCGAAGCCTTCCGAACCGGAGGAGAATGGTGTAGATGATGATTATTATTATTATTATTATTATTATTATTATTATTATTATTATTATTATTATTATTATTATTATTATTATTATTATTATTATTATAGGTATCTTAGAGAATAAGTTAGAAATCTAATATTATTATAAGAGATCTTGTCTTGTTGGACAAGTTAGGAATAGGGTTATGAGCCTTATTTAAAGGACTCCTCATCTATTGTTTTATTCAGTTGATTTTGAATATGAAATAAGATATTGAAAGTTTTGCGTGTTTTACGAGAGAGTATCTCGTTTTCTTCCCATTCGTTTACGCTTTCCCTACATCAGTTATGCAATTGATATGCGACATTTATGCGACAATTTTTCGCATAACCTTCGCACATGGACAGTTATGCGATGAATATGCGACAGTTTTCGCATAACCTTCGCACTTTCTGTGGTGAAAAACTTAGCTTTTTATTGGGCGGTGTGAAAAACTTAATGTGTCTTTGTTATGAGGTGAATAATTTTTTTTCCCTATAATATATATATATATAGTTTTATTTTTTAAAAACAAAAAAAAAAAATAAAAAAATATTTAGGGACCGGGTCAACCGGGTTGACCCAGCCGCATCAATGCCCGGGTCGACCGGGTCGAGGCCGAGTTGGCCAGGTTTTGACCGGGTCCTTTGTCCGATCTAAATAGCTCATCCGGACCAGTTCCGGCTCCAGGTCGACCCGTCGGCCAGTCCGGGTTGAAAAACACTGCTCCAAAGAGCTTAGCAAGATTAGCGGAATTGATTAAGGATTAATTTTAGTTTTATTACATGTGGGACTATTTAAGTGTGAACAAAGTGGATAAGAGGTCAATTTTATGTTTTCTTAACCTTAAACATGCAATTATTACGGTTAAAGTATTTTAATTTTTTACGTACTAATAATCTTCCGCTGACTATTTCCAGTTGTCATTTGACTGACAAAATCTATTAACCAAGTCACGGTTCAATTTGGATCAAATTATTTCACTTGAATTGACCACCTAATTCATGTATAACAATTTAAAAAAAAATTAGTATATTTCTTGCATTTTGAAATTAAAAAAGTAGTATATTACTTGCATTTTGTCAAAAGAAAATATTGAAATTCAAAAAAAAAACTATAATAAAAATATGTGCAATGTTTTCATGATTAAATACAATTGTAGTAGGATTAATGATATAAAAAAAATAAAATAAAATAAATATAGAAAAATTAATTCAAGCCTTTGGAGCCTATATGAGCCGAGCTGTAAGCGTAGCTTGCGTTGCAACCAAGCTGAAACAAATAGTGGGGAATTATTAATAAGGCATTATGAAGCATCATTTGGGATTCGATCGAGTAAATCTGGGCCGTCCACTTGTCTGGTGGGCTGATGAAGACAACCCATTAGGTGAAACATGAGGTGACACGGGAAGGCTGGTGGAGTTTAGGTGGCCATCACATAATGGGCTTGGCCCAACAAATGACACCTAGGCATCTATATAATTTTGAAGTTAAATTTCACATATATTTTCAAAATTTGTCAGCATGTTATACAAAAACTAGTGTACCGTGGATACACGATAGTTTAATTAAGGTAAACATTTAGATTTGGATAAATGAAAGAACGTAAACACATGTATTGGAATAAAATAAAATGTAACTTATATATTATTAAACATATTTTCTACAAAACATTATTTGTTTGGTCTTTTGGTATATCATCTATCGCCACAAATTATAGGATTCTAGATAGGCGTAAATAAATCAATTAAATTATTTCGCAGGAGATATGATTTATACTGGTTTTATGAAGATTGCATAGTCAAATGTAATGGAGATAGTAAAACGTCTTTCTTGATAATCTATATCCTTATTATTTTAAAATTGTAAATTACTTATTTTTAGGAAGAGAAAAATTGTATTTATGTATGCAATCAATTTCAAATTTGTAAGAAGATAAAACAAAACTACAATTTTTAGGATGTTCCGATCTGATTTTATTTTGAATTTCAAATTATTATTATCTGACTCTGTTTTATATTTAAAAAAAATCTGCACTAAAGAAAGTAATAGTCAAATAATAAGGATTTTCAAATTTTAATATTCAATTAGAAATTGGGCTCGATTTCTATGCAATTCGATTTTTTTTAATAAATATGATCTGTTGCAATTAGGTAAAGATACATGTTATAATATTTTTGCCCATCCATATTCTCGATTTTATGGTAAACATACTTTTTTTAATAAAAATGAGAGAATTTTGACTTTTACAAAATTCCCATGCCAAATTTTACCTAAATTAATTTGGTTACTATGCGAATCCTATTATTTTTTTTTAATTATCTGTTGCAATTAGAAAAAGATAAATGTGATAGTTTTTGCCTAATTCAGAATTTCGATTTTATGGTAATCAACTTTTTCTTAATAAAAATATAAGAAATAATTTTGACTTTTGCAAAATTGTAACCAAAAAGTTGAAATTTTGCCTAAATTAAATGCACAAAACCCATGAATTTAAGGTGCATATATAGCTTAGGAATCTATATATCTATATATATATATATATATATATATATATATATATATATATATATAAATAAAGGTTTGATTATTTTTTAAAATAGTAACTATTTCCCTCCAAAAAATCTATTTACTACTTCAGGAAATTAATTTAACAATTTTAGTATATATCAAATGATCACTTATGGAAATTGTGACTCATTATTTAAGGTAATAATTAAGTCATATATTAAGATACCTTAATTACTCAAATCATGTGAATTAATTAATATTTGGTATAAATGGATGAATTTATTTTTGATATTGACGGTTGTTTCTATAAGAAAT